CCCCCAATTTTTTTTGTATTTTTTTTATATTAACATTGTCTTCTTAGCGGTTCTGTTTCCCTCTGTAGCCGCGGTTGTGCGTGTTTGCAGTTTTAATGCGACGGCATTCCATCTCACACTTTTAAGACTCTTTTTAGTTGTGTTTTTGGCGGTGAATCTGATTGGTCCTGCTGCGCTGAGCTCGAGCGTTTGATTTGTGTTTCTGTGCGATCGGGGGGGTAACAGCACTATGACGGCAGCGGGGGGTGGAATGGAGAACCGCTTTCATTCTTGTTCATTTTTTTTCCTTGTAGTGTTTGTACTGTTTATAATGTTGATCTGAATTAAAAGTCATGACAAAAATGCTTTGGGCTCTTTATGAATTTGTTTAAAAATTTTATTTTTTAAATTGTCCAATTTACAGTCAAAATAAGATAGTGAGTCTTTAATTGACATGTACTTCTTTAGCAGATGATTTTATCCTAACAATGAGCATAGTTTAAAGCATTTATTTATCTTTGAATATGTAAAAATCGTATTGTTCCTTATGTACATTCTAAAAAATTATCAAATAGATTTGAGTGCATTACCCAAAAATGCTGGTTTTTCTACTTTGAATTTTAACATTTAATTCAGTGTTACCTGCCATTTCTTTATAATTGTGAAGTTAACTAACAATTTTTTTTCAGTGTACTTCACAGATCCTGGTTAAATATTAAAATATGACGACTTCTGAACCTTGTTTGAGGTTTTATTGTATATTAGTTGTTTGGAGCTTCGTTTCTGTGACTAGTTTAATTTAGCAAGTGTTTGTATTTCAGTTGCTTGTTTTAGGCTAGTTAGCTCTTCTGAGGGATTTGACAAGGGACAGACATTATATAATGTATAAAGAAGGGACAACTATTTTTAATTAACGCATCGTGTGCAGAGTTGGCCTGTATCTGTGATGGAGCACCAGCAGAGGGCGAACAAGAGCTTTAACTTGAGAAACCTGTCCTCAGAATATCGTTATGATTTATTTAAAGGCGACATATCATGAAAATCTAACTTTTCCAGGGTTTAAGTGCTATAATCAGGTCCCTGGTGCATCTGCCGACCAATGAAACATGTAAAAGATTAACCCAGTAACTTTGTTTTGGGAAGCCTTTTTCTGCAAGCGTCTGATTTCGCTCTCTTGGTGACGTGGCAAAGGGATCTCATTATATTACCGCCCCTTAATCTAAGTTTACATCCACGGCGGTGCCATCATTGCGTTTTCGCAAGCGACAACGGTGCCCTAGCTCTAACGCCATGATGAAAGTTTGAGCCAATGAGACCAAGAATTATAATGAAATGCAAGAATAAAAAGATGAGACTGTAGCTTAGATTTTAAATCATATACAGAAGATGCGGATCTCGCAGATAAGGGAAGACTGTTCCATAACCTAGGAGCAGCCACTGCAAACGCACGGTCACCTTTCAACTTCAATCTTGATGTTGGATATGGAGTAATATTGTCTGAGGATCACAAACATCTGGCAGACCTATTCACATTTACAAGATCTGACAAATAAGAAGGTGTCAGACCATTTAAAGACTTAAAAACAAACAGCAACATTTTTTATTCAACTCTATAACGCACTGGCAACCAGTTTAGAGACATTAAAATCGGAGTATTGTGTTCTCGTTTACGAACCCCAGTTAAAAATCTGGTTGCGGCATTTTGAATCATTTGAAGCCGTGGCATGGAGGATTGAGGTAGTCCAATATGCAAGGAGTTACAATAGTCCAAACGCGATAAAAGCATGTATGACTTTTTCGAGATCTTTTAAAGATCGAAAAGATCTAACTTTTGACAGAAGTTTAAGATGGAAAAAACATGACTTGACTTTACTGAGTTAATATGTTGCTCAAACTTTAGGGAGGAATCAAAAAGAACTCCCAAATTTTTCACCATTGGTTTGATAAAAGAGTTTAAATGACTACAGTTAAAAGTTGGTTTTCCTTTACCCACAGACGGTCCAAAGACAATTGCTTCCGTCTTTCCCTCATTTAAATGCAAAATTTTTACATCAGCTAAGCATGCAAGCAATGTTTCTAAACCATTCTTGTCATTGTGTTTTAAAGGTAAATAGATTTGGGTGTCATCAGCATAAAAATGAAAGGACACGCTTCCTAAAAACTGAACCTAGTGGATGCATGAACAGTGAAAACCAGATGGGAGCCAAAATAGAGCCTTGAGGAACACCAGAGGTAAGAGGAGCTACAGATGAAGCAGCGCGACCAGTACCTACCGAAAACGCTCTGTTACTAAGATGAGATCTGAACCAGCTCAGGGCACTTCCTTGGATGCCCACACACTTTTCAAGGCGCGATAAAAGAATGCCATGATCAATTGTATCGAAAGCTGCACTCAAATCTAAAGTTCCAAGAGTCAGCAAGTAGCAAAATGTCATTTAATACTCTTAAAAGAGCAGACTCAGTACTATGATTTTTCCTAAATCCAGACTGGAATTTTTCAAGAGTATTATTTGTTTACAAAAAAGTCTGTACCTGTAATAACACAACCCTCTCTAAAATTTTAGCAATAAAAGGTAAATTTGAGATCGGCCTAAAATGCGATAAAACAGTTCCAGATTAGGCTTTTTCACCATTGCATGTTTACAATAAGCTGGAACAAACCCAGAAAGAAGGCTCTTATTTACAATTTCAAGAATCCAGGCCCCAAAACTATCAAAAATCAGTTTAAAAAAGTGGGTAGGAACAATATCGAGCAGACGTAGTAGGCTTCAGTTTGATGAATGAATCCATTAAACCCTGCAAGGTAACCGGCTCAAAGGAATTAAAAAACCTAGTAGGAGTCAGAAGATCTGAAGGGTCATCAGTAAAGGAAATAATGGACTGTCTTATAATTGCTTCTATTTTTTCCACAAAAAATCTTCACACAAATTCGAAGACTCTGCAAGACAGATATTGCCCGTTGGATTAAAAACAGAATTCAAGATATTAAACAAAGTCCTAGGACTATTGGTGTTTTTGGAAATTATCGCAGAAAAATAGTTAGACTTGGCAGCTTTCACAGCTTTTTGATATGTTATTAAAGACTCCCGTAGGATTTCATAGGATACTTGGAGTTTATCCTTTGGTTTATTTACTGTATATTGCTGCTGCCACACAGATCTAAAATAAACATGCGATTTATTTCCCAGCTGTTTACCTTCACAGACATAACCCACTGTTTTTTGCAACACGTGTGTGTTTTTAACGTAAACTTGTGTGTGAATGAGAGCTTAGTTTAGTGCTCGCATGCTGCGACAGCCGCTTTCTGTGCGTGTGCTTCAGATGTGTGCGCTCAGAAAACCCTATATCAGAAGTTTAAACTCTAAAACGCATGATTTCAGCATGATAACCATGATAATCAGAACCAAAACAGATGTTTTTAGCAGGTCCGAGCTGTGCAGCTCTATTCTGGAAAAGGGGGCGGGGAGCCGCAGCTCATTTGCATTTAAAGAGACAGGCACGAAAAACAGCGTGTTTCTGCTTCCACTCAAAATAGGTATTTTCAAAATGATATAATAAATGATCTGTGGAGTGTTTAGAACGGAAACTTCACACACACGTTCTGGGGACACCTGAGACTTATATATTGTAAAAAGGGGCATAATATGTCTCATAATATAAGTGCTTAGCTATTATTATTGTATGTAAAAAAAAGACTGGCACTTGCTTGTCTGTATTGCTTTAAAGAGTTTAGATTTCCTTTTTGAAATCCAAAGTTTGTCAACTAGTGGACACTTGATGTAATTATTAAATATTCATGTTTATAGTGCTATAATTTAAACCATTAATTAAAGCTGGGTTGATATCAGTCCTTCGACAGAATAATTCATACATTTATAATAGCATGCAGAGTCATTTTTAAGAAAAAGTGCTGATGGGTTCCGCTTTGGTGAGGTGTAGTGGTTAAAATATCTAATTTAACTTAAATGTTGTAGGTTCAAATCCTTCATTCATGAGTAGTTAATGGTACACTGAGAGTGGGAAAGATGGACTCTTTGTGAACAAAGAGCTTCCTCGCTGTGACTGATTAGTTCACTTATTTTTTTAATTGATTGGTTTGTTTGTGTGTCTATTGGCTCAAAATTAGAGCAGCTATTATTTTATTATGTATTAAATATGTTTCGTATAGAATAAATACATTTGCAAAACAACCTATTTCATTCACTTTTACAAAAATGTACTTTATCAAATGCAATATCATGCTCTTCTTTGATTATGGACCAAAAACAGAGACGTTTTTCAAAATATCTTATATTCTGAGTTCAACAGAAGACAGAAAGTCATACAGCTGAGTAAATGACTTTTCAGATTAACGATGATTTCATGATTTAGTAGTAATAAATTAGTATTACAAAGTGACTATGACTTGCCTAAAACAAGTAAACGAGTTGATAAATAGTGGGAACAAATTCTTAAGTTGTGGCCATGTTTCCTCCTTTACTTTTTATTTTTTTGCAAAATCGACTATAGTAAATCTTTTGATTATTTGTTATTCTGTTAGCTATTAATCTGGGTAATTTTTGTCACCAATGAAAACTATATTAACTATGGAAGCCAATTCTGCAGCGAAAAAAAACTCAATTGCAATTCTAACTTTTTTTCGAGTTTACATCTCTCGATTCTGTTTTTTCCCCCCTTTTCGCCACGGAATAATAATAAAAATTGACAATTTAAAAAGTAATTGCGACTTTTTATCTCACAATTCTGATTTTTTTTTTGTTTTATTAAAAAAATAAACTTAAATAAACATAAATAAATGTAAACTGCAATCGCGAGTTTCTGATTGAATTGCGAAAAAAAGTCATAACTGTGAGAAAAAAAGTTGCAATTACTTTATTATTACTATTATTTTATCCTGTGGCAGAAATCGGCTTCCAATCTCGCTAGTAATAATTGTGTTACTACAATGCTCTGGACGTGTAGGATTAAAATACAATAAACTGTGAGCCTGTGTTGCTTATTACTTTAAGTTTTTATATAATGTACATTATTAGTTTGATTATTAATAACGCTCACATAAGCGTGAGAGAAAGTGGGCGTGGCTTAGTCCGTCTGTACACTGAACTCCGTGATCGTCATGCTGGGAGTGTTGTTAACAATCAAATATCTAAGAAATAAAAATAAAATAATTTTAAAAAGCCTATATGTTGTTTCAGGATAATTCTGATAAGTTATCTTAACGGTAAGAAATACAAAAAAAAAATGTCTACAGTTTTCATGTTATTAAGATCCAGTTTGTTGAAGAATAGTACTCTTTGTATCAATTTTTACTTGATGATTGGATATTTGTTTTTGTAATTTTTAGTTCAGTATACAAAAAAATAAAAATAAGAAAGAAACAGGACGTTCTGTTCCTCTCTGTGACGCAGATCTACCGGAATGTCCTGGCACATGCGCTCACGTGTTGTCATGTGTTTACCGAGCTTCAGTCCACGTGCTGCGCTCACGAGGCCCCGCCCCCAGCGTGGGCACGCCCACCGGAGTTCAGAACGTCTGGACTCGACTGTTCCTCCGCTCCAGGACAGACTCACGCGACACTCTCGCCCCAAGAGCTCTGTTTTAAACTCGATTCTGTCTTCCAGGATCTCAAACACTTATCCTGCAAACAGCGAGCTCACCCTTGGACTCTTCCGCACTCTTCTGCTCTGCTAAAACATGTAAGTCGCATCGTTTTTGAACGTTTATAACGTTTGCTTGTAGTTGTTGAAGTTTATCATAACACTGTTGGTTTCGGAAACTAGTCTGAAGCCTCTTTAGAGTTTCTTTGAAATAACAATGGAGAAAATCAAACGTATCTAGACGAACTCCAACCAAAAACGTTCCCTGTCAGGGGGAACAGATCGGCGTGGCTCGTCATTGAGTGATGTTTGATCGCGGTTTGAATGTTAGTGCGAAGTGAAATGTCAGTAGTATCTGATCTACGTGGACAGAGGAGAGAGTGGGCGTGTCCGCGTGACTTCTGACCAATCAAACAAACGCTTGGTTTCCCGCCGCCGTCTTGAACCGCAGTGAGCGAAACCAGTGACGTGTACTGTCACTACGTCATGATGTACTCATGAATGATTGAAATTAAAATATATTTATTTATTAAAACGCAAGTTTCCTCATGGAAGAAGATGGTATTGGCTAAATTATTTGGAAAGTTGTCTATAATAGATTAATATTATATATTGATTATATATTAATTTATATATATATATATGTATTAAGTATGATATGTAGTTTAGTTTAGTTTATTTCCTGAAACATTCACAATTAATTATCGTATTGGATAAAATGTGACTCTTGAGCCACAAGAACATTTTATAAACTGAGACATCAGTCATATGTTAATTATTAAACTTAAGTATTTATTCATATTTGGAATTAGCTTTTTAATTTTGGTTTGTTACTTTATATCCTTTTGTCATTTTTATTATTATTAAAAAAATATTTATAGCTTTATTTTGACACTTCAAAATAAGTAATTTTGGTACTTCATCTTTAACTCATTAGGCAATATTTATAATTTTAAGTCCAAGTTTTTAAATGTTAAGCTTTTCATCTGATATCTAATTTCAGATCTAATTAAGTCACCAAAAATGCAAGAAGTTACAATAACAACAGTCAGTAATTTATGCTGGTTTTCTTATAAAAGTAATTCTTATATTAAATTAAATTAACAAAACTGAAATATCTGCAAGCTTGATTTAGAGAATCCAGTGTTTAATTCTCACTATGCATCAGCTGAAACTGTAGTGCACTGTATTAGCCGGCGGTCAGTATCTGGTGAGACGACGGAGGAACATGCCCTCACATGTCCCTGTAGCTCTGCCCAGACATGCAGCAGATCATGACTCACTTCAGCCTTTAAATACAGAGCACAGAGACGCTCAGACATGACTGAGAGAGACCGGGACAGGTCAGGGAGGACACGCGTTCGCTGCGTTTCTGTTGATGTCATACTGACACACTGAACACAGTTTGACATTGTTCAGAGACTGTAATCGTGTCTTCTTGCAGCTTGAGCTCATGGCGATGCACAAGCGGATCCTGCGAGCTCTCGGGAACGTCCCGACGCGGCGGAACCTCTTCGGGCCGGTGGATCGCGAGCAGCTCCAGCTGGAGTACCGCGACGCTCTGAGGAAGGACCTGGAGGAAGCATCCCGCCGCTGGAGCTTCGACTTCGTCTCGGAGACACCTCTGGAGGGCGGAGACTTCCTGTGGGAGGGCGTGTCCGGGGAAAAGGTGCCCGTCTTGTACCGCGCCGGTCAGGAGGGCAAGCATCCGCGGCTGCGCGTGGGTAAAGAGAACATCCCCAGAACCCCAGAGAGATTCAACGCTGTCCCGCGGGACGTGGAGAAAACGCCAGAAAAGAGTACAGAGCTGAAGAGGAAGCAGACGAGTATCACGGGTGAGATGGGCGGAGCCAAACAGAGATGAGATTCACAGATGAATCTCAAAAATCTGTAGAAAATTAAGGTAATGTTTAGAACATTTAAAGGGATAGTTCACCCAAAAATCGTCAATTACTCACCCTCGTGTTGTTCGAAACCCGTAAGACCTTCGGTGTTCATCTTCAGAACACAATTTTTCGTCTCTACTGCGTCACTTGTGGACGCGCGTTCACGACAGTATCATGACGCGAGCGTGAGCCGGCGCTGACCCAGATCCGGCGTGATGACGTCCAAATGTGGAATAAAGTCGTTATTTTTGTTTTCTTTGTGCAAAAAAAGTATTCTCGTAGCTTCGTAACTTTACGGTTGAACCGCTCATGTCACACGGACTACTTAGTCGACCATCTTGGTACGTTTCTGGACCTTGATCGTGGTAGTTACCTTGCTGTCTATGGGAGGGTCAGAGAGCGCTCAGATTCCATCAGAAATATCTTAACTTGTGTTTCGAAGATGAACGAAGGTCTTACGGGTTTGGAACGACACGAGGGTGAGTAATTAATGATTTAAATTAATTAAATTTAGGGGTGAACTAACCCTTTAAGACTCAGAAATAAGCAGTTCAAAAGAATGAAATATCTAAACAGTATTTAAATTGTAATGTTTTTAAGTTTATTAGCTTAAACAGTAAATTAGCTTTATTTTTATATAATTTTAGTTGTATTAGTCATAATTTCAGCAATTAAGCTACTAATTTACTAAGCAATGAATTTAGCTAAATTACTAAAATTTAAATTAATGCCTAAAACTTAAGTAGTTTTATTTATCTTTAAATTTATTTCAGCTTTAGTTTTTCTAATTTTAGTACTTCAACTCAAACGTATTTATTTCATTTAGTTGCCAAGGCAACATTTAAGTTTTTCAGGTTTTTCATCTAATATTTATAGTTAATTTGTTTCATATTTCAGTCACCAGACACTTTTTTTGTTATGGTTTCAGTTTTAGTAACAAATTCAACCGTCTGTAATTAATGCTGATTTAAATAATCATTATGAAACTAGAACTTAAAGAAAGTTACAAAACTAAATATTTAGATTTTTTTATTTATCAGAATTTAAAGAAAACCGTTTTTAATTATCGTGTGAATAATGCACAATGCAGTGACTTGTTATTAGTTTTAAAGTAGTTTAAAATAGGATTGACCTGTTTTGTTCTTTGTTTTTAAAACATTTATATATATAGTTTTCATTCATTTATTTCAGTTTTAGTAATTATAGCACGTCAACTCAAACATTATATATTTTTTAGATAGTTAATTTTTGTCTTTAATAACAAATTTTAGTCTTTCATCTATTTATATTTTAGATTTATTTAAACTTTTTTTAACACTAACAACAGTAATTTATGCTGACTTAAATAATCATTGTATTATCAAGTAATTCGTATCTAATATTAATTAATGAGGGGAAAACTGCAAAACTCAAAAAAAATTTGAAGAAAGTTGCAACTAAACATTTGAATTTATGCATTTTTAGGTTTTTTTGCATCAGAATTTAGACACAAGTGTGTGTAGTTGATATGTGAATGATGTGATATTTAATTGTAATGTTTTAAATGTAATGGTTTCTTGTCCAAACAGATTTCTACCAGGCGAAGAAGAGAGTGGTGGTCACACCCCGCAAATCAGGACAATAACACACGCGCACACACACACACACACACGCACACACACACACACACACACACACACACACGCACAGACTCAGGAACGCTAGTGTGTCTCGTCGGGACTCGTCTCCTCATAACACGAACACACGAGAACTGACGTAAACCACCGCTTCTTCTCACTAGATCTTCTGTTTTTCCACACTGTCATCTCCCTTCATCCTTTCAAGAACTCTAAACAATTATTTATAGCAGTTTTCCGTCGCGGTCGCGCTGTTTGATCGGTGCCGGGGTCATGGACGGAATCAAGAAACACACAACAGACTGTTCCAGAACTTAGTTTCCATCTTCAATCATGTTTTTTTGAATGTTATTCATTAATATGACATTGTTTCTCTGTCATTCCTCTTCCTGTTTATATGTTTGCATGTCAACAGTTAACATTTATACAAATTTACGTTTAAGAAAATGTGTTAAAATCCTTTTAAATCCAGTAGGATTTGTGTGGAGGGGCGAAAAGATTCTGGAAAAATTCAGAATTTGACTCTTTAGTGGGACCACAAAATTTAATTACGAACAACACAACACTGATATTTTTCGGTGTGCATGTATACAAATGTATTGCTTCATTGCACAGTACTTGTAGCTAATTTTAACTAACGTTTGGTGCCAACGTTTGTTTTGTTTTTTACACATAAAAATTCTTTATAATTCAAACCCTGTGGATTTTCTCACACCACTCTCGTAAAGGAGCTGCAATTACGTTTTTACAATGTAGATTTATTTAAGTAAACGCTTGGCGTCGTTTGTGAAACACGAGCTGAATGAAGTCTCTGCAGATTCTTTGTAAATTGCGTTAAATTTAGTGCGGGAGTTAGTGCATGAATGTTTAAACGAAGAATTTGCAGAGAAATTTGTTCTGCTTGCGTTCCGTGAACGCAGCTACAGCATATTTACAAACACTCTCAGTTTTACTTGTAGTCATGGAAATACAAGTAACATCTCATTAACGTTTGTTTGAAATTAACGGAATCACAGATATGAACACTAAGCTTTCTACGTGCACTAATTGAGTGTTGGATATGTTAAGTTTCAGCAAACATTCACTGAATCCGTTCTTGCTCTGTAATGGTTCTCATATCTTGATACTTGTAGATTTCTGCGACCTGTCTGTAAATATCCTTTTAATATCCAGATTATTCGCCGTTGATGGAGAATTGCACTTGTTATTTTGAGTATTGTAGCTTGCACATGTCTGTTTTTGCTAAAGAGCTCAGAATATATGCTGTATTTATTTTACGGATAAATATTGTATTGTAGATTGACATTTAATTGTTCTTGTAATAAAGCCGTTTATGAAGAGAAACTCTGGTGTGTGCGATTGATTTGTACAAATAAATCGTTCCCCTAAATATTCAATCTGTTGATTCTAAATAAAAAATAAATTGTGCGGACACTACTTGTGTGTTGAGAGAACATTCAAATTTAACAATCAAACGTCAAAAATAAAATTTAATATTTCATAAATTAATGGGAAAGTTTAGAGCATGTTTTTGTTAGTTGGGTACTTGGTTTCTGCTGCTGCGTTACGGATGTGGTGCTAATCGACCATTTCTCTGGATTTGTATGTGAATTATATCGGTCTCAAGCTAACATGTTTACGGTCAACACATGAAATTGCATTTTACTGCCATCACGTGATGTGGAATAACCTGTATTTAAAAATACAAATGTTAACTTTTACTGTATCGCAATTTATTAGATGGCACTAAACTACCATGTTAACTATTAGCTAGATTTAGGAAACTGACTACATAGATATTCAACTATTAGTCATGCTAAAGTTGCTTATGTAACGTCGTCGGTTGTAAAGGAGGCGAAGCAAGTTCTAAATTCAAAGTTTGTCTTTAGAAAAACAATTGTTCACAATCAGACCAGGAACATTCAATAAATTAATTAATTTCATGTTGACTTTTGCGTATTTCAAACTTTTATTTGTGCATTAAGTGCATTTCTGTTTCCCATTAGTTTACAGATGCACACTGAGGGGCGAATCGATCTTATTTTTGTGTTGTAATCGACCGAACGCCACAGATAACTATTGTGTTGTTTACCCTGAAATATTCCTTTAAATAAGAAAACTCACTTCAGATGCGCGTCACACATGTGAACGTAGCAGGTACTGTTCTTCAGCATAATAGTGACCCAGAAGAAGTGTGTTGCTATGAGACTGACGTGTGCGCGCACACACACACACACACACTCAGGTTTACATTTGTGAAAAGTGGGGACTCTCCATAGGCGTAATGGTTTTTATACTGTACAGACCGTATATTCTATTGCCCTACACCAACCCTACCCCTAAACCTACCCCTCACAGGAGACTTTGTGCTATTTCAGATTTTCAATACACTCCATTCTGTGTGATTTATAAGCGTTTTGAAAAGTGGGGACATGGAGTAATGTCCTGAAAAGTCACCTTCTCCTTGTAATACCTGTCATACCTTTGTCATTATACACATTTATGTCCTCATTTGTCACAAAAACGCATACACACACACACACACACACACACTCTCTCACTCACTCACTCACTCACTCACTCACACACACACACTCTCTCACTCACACACACACACTCACACACTCACTCACTCACTCTCACAGGTTTGTTTTTGTGAAAAGTGGGGACTCTCCATAGGCGTAATGGTTTTTATACTGTACAGACCGTATATTCTATTGCCCTACACCAACCCTACCCCTAAACCTACCCCTCACAGGAGACTTTCTGCTATTTCAGATTTTCAATACACTCCATTCTGTGTGATTTATAAGCGTTTTGAAAAGTGGGGACATGGAGTAATGTCCTGAAAAGTCACCTTCTCCTTGTAATACCTGTCATACCTTTGTCATTATACACATTTATGTCCTCATTTGTCACAAAAACGCATACACACACACACACACACACACACTCTCTCACTCACTCACTCACTCACTCACTCACACACACACACTCTCTCACTCACACACACACACACACACACTCACACAGGTTTGTTTTTGTGAAAAGTGGGGACTCTCCATAGGCGTAATGGTTTTTATACTGTACAGACCGTATATTCTATTGCCCTACACCAACCCTACCCCTCACAGGAGACTTTGTGCATTTTTAGATTTTCAAAAAAGACACAAATTTGTGTCCTCATAAACCACATAAACATGCACACACTCACACACGCACTCACACACACACACACACGCATACCCCTTAAAAATGTGTTTATCACTGTGAAAACACACACCTACACACTCCCCAATTGTACTCTCATTAACACACAATGAAAATAAACACACACACACACAGATTAATCTCAGAGTGTGTGTGCCTGTACATGCTGCAGTGTGCGTGTGTGTGTGTGTGTGTGTGTGACGCATGCTCCAATGAACTCCCCTCCCCCTCTGTTCATCTGCTCTGCAGCCGCGTTGAAACACTCAGACAAACACACAACCGGAGAGACGAGAAAGAAACGTGAGATACAGGCGAGACAAAGATGAGAGACACGAAACCGCAGCCGATATTGACTCTAGCATGAACCATGACAGACTGGAGCGAGAGATAGACAGCTAGAGGAGTGGGGTGGGGTGAACGCAGACAGACAGACAGAGAGAGACAGACAGGAGGGATATGGCCCTCTTATACGTCTCTGCAGTCAAGCTGCATGCCCTGGACTGAAGACCATGGTAATTTATCACAAATTAATCTTCTGTTCCTGTGTTGTACCATCCATCCATCCATCCATCCATCTGTCCATCATCACCCGTCTGTCTCTCTCTCACGCGCTGTTCTGCATGTCACAAGTCAGCTGCAGATTTGTTCTCATGCATTTAACTCAACCACTGTCATTTGACACACATCCCTGATTCACGCTGCATGCATGTGTGTGTGTGTTTTCTGTCCCCCACCGATTAGCTTCAACCTACTTTATAAATGTGTCCATCAGCGGCCTGTATATGCGCACACACGCGCGCATGCTCTCGGCAGGTAACATGACTCAGATTCACATGCGTAGAACCCTGCTGTATGTGCATGCATGTGTATGTAACACAACAAACCTCGTCTCAGAGAAACACGCATTCTAGTGTGCTGTTGTGTCATGTTACGTGACTCTGTTGCATGCATGTGAAGATGCAAGGCTTGCAGTAACCCTGCTGTGTCAGTGAGACTCTGAACACATATGCAGAAGGCTCTGTAAAGGTTGCATGCATCTTTTCATGCATGTGAAACGCATTCTCTGATGCATGTTGATTTGTTTACAGACGAGGTATTGCAGGTTGAGATTTGCTGCCACTTACTTTTGTGTATGCGTGACATTCACTCATCCAGCGTGTTTTGGGAGTTAATTGTGACGTTGCATTTATGAATGATTCATTTCAGATGCATAGTTACTATCCTACAGTGAGTGCTGTCTTATCATGCATATTGTTTATACATTGAAATACCGGTACTTCTATGTTGTGCACGTAGAGATATTTTCAGAACGAAAGTGGGTCACGCTGTGTGCCTCTCACTCTGAGCGTGTGAGTTTTTGTTCAGCTTGTAAACAGATGTGACCACTCGTGCATCTGCTGCGCATGACAAAAGGTGTTAAAATTAGCATGTGGTTTCACATGAGATGTTTACGTGCATGTCTCATGTTTCTGTTAGCATGACAGCGCAACTCTGTGCTCATGTTTTCATTGTTTACATGCAGCTGGATAAAAGCGAAGTGTCTACTCTCAGTCTACCGCCCTCTGTGAGCCATGGCGGGTCAGACGGGAACATCAGCGTGGAGGCAGGGTTAGACGGGGCAGGCGGCGAGGTCCAGAGAACACGAGCGGCACTGGAACACCTGCAGCAGAAGATCCTGAAGATCACCGAACAGATCCGCGTGGAACAGGAGGCCCGTGACGATAATGTGGCCGAGTATCTCAAACTGGCCCATAATGCGGACAAACAGCAGGCGTCGCGCATCAAACACGTGTTTGAGAAGAAGAACCAGAAGTCTGCGCAGACTATTGCACACTTGCACAAGAAGCTTGAGCACTACCACAAGAAACTCAAAGAGATCGAGCAGGTAAGTTCACATGCATGCATGCCCTTTCCAACTGCATTTTCCAGGGTAATGACTTCTATCTCCTTTTCTGCAGAATGGTCCTGCGCGGCAACCCAAAGATGTCTTGAGGGACATGCAGCAGGGACTGAAGGACGTAGGTGCCAATATGCGAGCGGGAATCAGTGGTTTTGGAGGGGGCGTGGTGAAAGAAGTCAAGGGCGGAGTCTCTGCACTCACGCACACCGCCGTCGTCTCGAAACCCAGAGAGTTCGCTAGTCTCATCCGCAACAAGTTCGGCAGCGCCGACAACATCGCCCACCTGAAGGACACTCTGGAGGATGGGCACACGGAGGAGACGCCCAGAGCTCTGAGTGGCAGCGCCACGCTGGTCTCCAGCCCCAAATACGGCAGCGACGACGAGTGCTCCAGCGCAACTTCCGGGTCAGCAGGTGGTAGCAACTCCGGCGGGGCGGGAGCGGCAATGGGCAGCCCGCGACTGGATGGACATCACCACCACCATCATCACCACCACTCCTCGTCTTCCTCTTGGGATACACTGCTGGAAGGCCTGCAGGAGATCAAAGTCAGTCAGGTGCATATGGAGGACGCCATCGAGGACATGAAAGCGCAGCTGCAAAGCGACTACAGCTACATGACCCAGTGCTTGCAGGAGGAGCGATACAGGTAAGACTGCAGCACCTACAGCAGATCCAATGCTTTCCAGAGCCAGATCTTCAGGCGTGTTTCTTCTCTCTTTCCTCCAGATACGAGCGTCTGGAAGAGCAACTCAATGACTTGACGGAACTCCATCAGAACGAGATGAGCAATCTGAAGCAGGAGCTGGCCAGCATGGAGGAGAAGGTGGCGTACCAGTCGTACGAGAGAGCGCGAGACATCCAGGTGACCAACAATAACAAAGTGTCCAATCCTGCTTCTGGAGGGCCACTGTCCTGCAGAGCTTCAACATGAATGAAAAACACCTGAAAAGCGGCTACTCACAGTCCTGTAGTCTGTAGGCCTGTGCTAGAACTTTCATGCAGGTGTTTTGGAGCATGCTGGAGCTAATCTCTGCAAGACGTCGGCTCTCCATGAGCAGGATTGGACACCCCTGTAAATTACAATGACTTTTGGCACTTCTGAGTGTTACAACACAAGTGTGTGTGTGTGTGTTTGCCCGCAGGAAGCAGTAGAGTCCTGCCTCACCCGCATTACCAAACTGGAGCTGCAGCAGCAACAGCAGCAGGTGGTGCAGCTGGAGTGGAGGAGAAGGTGGCGTACCAGTCGTACGAGAGAGCGCGAGACATCCAGGTGACCAACAATAACAAAGTGTCCAATCCTGCTTCTGGAGGGCCACTGTCCTGCAGAGCTTCAACATGAATGAAAAACACCTGAAAAGCGGCTACTCACAGTCCTGTAGTCTGTAGGCCTGTGCTAGAACTTTCATGCTGGTGTTTTGGAGCATGCTGGAGCTAATCTCTGCAAGACGTCGGCTCTCCATGAGCAGGATTGGACACCCCTGTAAATTACAATGACTTTTGGCACTTCTGAGTGTTACAACA